CCAGTGCCCATTCTCCACCACCAATGAATGCAGTATCCCTCCCATCCCCCCACCCTGCCCCACCTCTGTGGCAGGGCATTTCCTTTTGCTCTCTTTCCTTTAGGGTGTTGTGGTTTGCAATAGAGGTTTTGAGTGGCCATCGTGTTTGGCCTATAGTCTACTTTCAGCACACATCTCACATCCCAAGCGAGTTCTCCAAACATCTTTTGCTTAGTGTTCCCTTCTCTATCTGAGCTGCCTTTTCCCCCAGCATGTGCTGTCACCTTCCAAGCCATGGAGCAGACCTTCTGGTACTTATCTCAACTATTCTTGCGTGTTCGCCTCCCATTATGGCTATTTATATTCCCCAGATGAATACAGTCTTTCTGTGTCTGTCCCTCTCTTTCTGACTCATATCACTTAGCATGATACTTTCCATGTAGAACCACTTGTTTGCAAATGTTATGACTTCATAATTTCTAACAACTGCATAGTATTCCGTTGTGTAGATGTACCAAAGATTCTTTAGCCAGTCATCTGTTCTTGGGCACTCAGGTTTTTTCCAGATTTTGGCTATTGTGAACAATGCAGCAATGAACCAATGTTCAATGAACCATACAAGTGCAGATGTCATTTCAACTATACTTTTTTGTCTCTCCGGGATATATTCCCAGGAGGGGTGTTGCTGGGTAAAATGGGAGCTCAATTTCTAATTTTTTGAGAAATGTCAAAACTCACCCCTGCACTTCTTCAGCACCATCTGGACTGGCTCCCTACACGGTATGAGAAAGCATGACCTGACCCTGAGCCGAGTAAAGGAAATTGGTTCCATTTGCTCATATGACTAAAACACACCTTGTTCCCTCATGTCTAAGAGTTCATCTTGTCTTTTCCAAATCACACTCTGGAACATAGTTTTGAGGTATGAATCTGACAGGAGTGTTGGGGTCTTTGGTGGAGGTTGAGACCCCGACCCAAAGTGCAGTGTTGGAAAGACAAGTAACGCTTCTTGTAAATCTCTTATTTGCCTCCAAGCGCTCTCACTGAACTCAAGATAACTCGAGTGACACATTGGAGCTACGGTGGCTGTGAAGGGGAGACTCTCTCACCTCAAATACTCACACTGCCTGACTTTTGGGAGCATTTGTATTTATTTTAGTTGTAGTTTTTGAATAATTTCGGTACATTGATGATTTTTGACCCTTAATGCTGAATTTTTTCTTTGTTTTTCTTTTTTGGGTCACACACGGTGATGCACAGGGTTAATCCTGGCTCTGCACTCAGAATTTACTGCTGGAGGTTCTCAAGAAACCATATGGGATGCTGAGAATCAAACCCGGATTGGCCGTGTGCAAGGCAAATACCCTACCCGCTGTACTATCGCTCCAGCCCAAATGTTTCTGTTTCCTTGGATTTATCCAACCCTCTCGTGCTTCCTGGAAATAGAAGGTACAATAAGTGGCATACCCTGTGTCTAGGCTCTATTCATTTGGGGGCTGTGATTGGACCACACCTGGAAGTGCTCAGGGCTTGTGTGCTTGTACCCTTGTCAAATATGTAAATCTGAACACTAAGTCCAGGCTCCCTGCCAAATAGATTGTGTGCTGAAGGTCCTTCATGAGCTCTTTCTATGCTCCAGACAGGGACAGGATTTCTCATTGATGACCCCAGTACAGGGTCCTGAGGTTCATGCAGGTCTATGGACACAGAGTTATAGACAGAGCAGAGCAGGATCAGGTGCTGTTACCAGGCCAACCACACCAGGCAGGTCACGGGGCAGCAGAGGCTCTTCCTTGTTTCAATTAAGTTCATCATCAGTGACAATGACCATTCTTAAAACTACTTTGAATAGTTAAGGGTAAATATGCTTCAGAAGAAGGAATTTTTATCCAAGATAAATGTGAGAAGACACTACTGTAAAATTTTATTGACTTTGTGTTCGACCCAGCTCTTTCAGAATTCACTGTAACAATGAACCTGGCTGTTCAAACCCAAAATTTCCACAGACAGTTCGAGAACAGGAACATGGAGGGGTAAGGGCCTGTCTACAGGGTAGAGGCCCTGGGGGAGCTGGGTTTGGTTCTAAGGGACCTGATACACAGGGACTGTCCTCCCCAGCTGTTGTTCCCCCCTCAGCAATTCCTGAGGCACCGGGTTATTCCTGGATCATGCACTCAGGAATTACTCTGGCGCTGCTTGGGAGACCATATGGGATGCTGGGAATTAAACCCAGTTCAGCTGAATGCAAGGCAAATGCCCTACCTGCTGTGCTATTGCTCCATACCCAAATGCTGACTTTTTAAAAGTAAAAGTAAAGTCAAAGGCCCTCCCGTTGATCATCGATTTGCTCGAGCGAGCCCAGTAACGTCTCCATTGGAGACTTTGTTGTTACTGTGTTTGGCATATCGAATACGTCATGGGGAGCTTGCCAGGCTCTGCTGTGCGGGCGAGATACTCTCGGTAGCTTGCCGGGCTCTCTGAGAGGGGCGGAGGAATCGAACTCGGGTCGGCCATGCTGACTTTTTAAAACATCAAATTATTAAGCACAGTTTCTGGTTCCTTAGATTTAATTGAACCTTCTGGTGTTCCATGGAATTAGGGGTAAACTTATGTGACACAGACTGTGTCTAGGTTCCATTCATTTGGGGGCAGGGTAAGGCCTCACGTTTCACTGCTCAGGGCTTGCACACTGTACATTTGTAGCATGTGTGAGTCTTTATGCAAAGACCATACCTCTGGCCCAATAGATTGTGTGCTGAGGACCCCTTACTTGGTCTTCCTAAGCATTGAACATGGGTTGGGATTCTTCAGTGATGAACCCCAAGAATAGGCCCTGAGGTTCATGATCATCTTTTGGTTTATTTATTTTTATATTTATATTTATTTATTTATTTATTTTTGTCTTCTGCCCCCGCACCTGGCTGTCCTCACTGGGGTTCCTTGGAGGGGGGAGGGTAGAGTTTCTCTCCCTCCCCTCCGCCCCTAGCAGAGCCCCAGCAGCTGAGGACCTCCGGAGCCAGCCATGGCCATGCTGGGACCACTCTCCACACGTCCGGATGGGCCTCATGCATGAAAGAACTGGCAGAGGATCCCAGGCATGCGGGTCCTGGGGCTGAAGTCTCCAAGACTACTCGGACTGGGGCTTTTCCACCTAGACCTTTCATCTTCCAGTAAGTATGCGTCACACCCACCAGTTGCCACCAACACCAGGTTGGTCCCATCAATGGCCAAGACTCAGAGACTATAAAATCCAGCTCCCTTTGGAGAACCTGGCAGGCTGTCAAAAGTATCCTGCCCACATGGCAGAGTCTGGCAAACTTCCCGTGTTGTATTCAATATGCCAAATACCAGTAACAATGATGGGTCTCATTCTTCTAATCCCGAAAGTGCATTGAAATGGCTCTTTTAAAATCTCAGGGCTAGGAAGAAGGAGTAGTGTCCGGTGCCTGCTCGAGGAAATCGACGAACAACAGAATGATCGTGATCGTGATCGTGATTTTTGTCATGTTACTGAATATCTATCTGTTTCATTGAGTTGATTTACTTCATATCTGAATTCTTTGTCAGAGAGGTCCGGTAGGTGAGCAGCATCTACAGAAGCTTCTGGATTCATTTTGTTGTCCTCCCCATGTGTTGGGGATTTGCATTGTTTCTTCATGTTGGTGTGTAGGTATGGGTACTAGGTTCCTTGGTATGGCTAAACGGTTAAAATTAGGCCATGCCCACTTCTACAGAAGCCACGCCCATTTCTGAAAAGGACACGCCCCCAAGGGTGCCTGGGTTTGGGAGGAGACCAGCACAGCTTGGGGGACAAAAAGGAAGAGGCAGAGACTCAGAGCTGCTTTTCTCCCAACCTCCTAGAGGACACCTGTGGAGCTTGCAGGGACAAATCCAAGTCCCGGGTTCAAATACTGGCAGATAAACTGACCTGGGTTTGGGAAAAGACCAGCACAGCTAGGGGGACAAAGATGAAGAGTATTTATTTATTTTTATTAGTGAAACACCATGAGGTACAGTTGTAGACTTACAAATTTTTGTGCTTGGGCTTCAGTTATACAATGATCAAGTACACATTCCTTTATCAGTACCCATTCTCCATCACCACTGATCCCAGTATCCCTCCCACCTCCCATCCCCCCCATCCCACCCTGCCTCTGTGGCCGGGAATCATGATCATCTTTTGGACACTGAGTTGTACATAGAACTGGCCAGGTTTAGGTACTGTTGTCCAGGCCAACACACCAGAAAGGTCACCTAGGCAGAAGCATCTTCCTGTCCCAATACAAAACCATTAACAGTGAAAAAAAAAATCCACCCTAAAAACAACCTTGAAATTAGGGAGTGACACTGCTTCAGGGGAAAGAATGCTCATGGAAGATGAGAGAGTAAATAGAGTGAAAATTGATTAACCATGGATTGGATGGACCCAAATCTGAATTTCCTGTTACAGTTACACTGCCTATTTGGTCCCAGGTTTTCCATGTGCAGTGGGAGAACATGACCCACCACCGAGGGATATGGAGGGGAAGGGCCCTGACTACAGGATAGAGGAGCTGGGAGGGATGGGTTTGCTCATCAGGGACCTGAGACACGGGGACTCTCCTCCCCAATTGCCGTTTCCCCCTCAGAAATTCCTGTTTCCTGAGAGCTCCTCAGCACGTTTCCTGTGCTGGAGGAAGAGGCTGGCTCTCACAGGGCCCCAGGGACAGGCCTGAATGCTCTGAGACACAGGCAGCACACCAAGCCTCCCCCAGGTCCCCTCCTTTCTCTACAGTGGCTCCCCTATGCAAATCTGCATTTGGGACCCAGAATTAAAACCACGTTCACACTCACCCCACTCGGGATCCCTCTCCTCCTGACACAGTATCTGAGATCATGGACCCCGTGGGCAGGAATGTGCATCAGCGCTTGTTCCTCCTATTTCTGGTGGCAGCTACTGGATGTGAGTATCCCTTGGACAGAGGTTCCAAGGTGGGCATGGGGTCTCTTAGAGAGTGACTCACTGTCGGTCTCTGTCCCAGGTGTCCTGTCCCAGGTACAGCTGCAGGAGTCGGGACCAAGCCTGGTGACACCCTCTCAGACGCTGTCCCTCACCTGCTCGGTCTCTGGATTCTCTCTAAGCGACTATGATGTGGACTGGATCCGCCAGACCCCTGGAAACGGTCTGGATTGGGTTGGTGCTATAGGTTATGATGGAAGAACATACTATAAGCCAAGTCTTCAGTCCCGACTCAGCATCTCCAGGGACATCTCCAAGAACCAAGTTTACCTAAAACTTAGCAACTCAGTAAGTGAGGACACAGCCATGTATTATTGTGCAAAAGAAACACACAGTGAGGGCAAATCCCTGTGAGCACAGACAAAAACCTGCGGAGGGAGATGGGGGAGCTGCAGCGGTGCGTGTGACCACCAGGGGTCGCTATGCTCCAGGTGATCCAAGGCTGTCCCTGGGACAGAGGGAGAAGAGCTAGTAAGAAGTCACTTTCTTTTTTTTCCTTTTCATTTGTTTTTTACATATATTTCTTCTTTTGGGGATTCCATTTTCCTCTTTATTATATTTTTACTAACTTAAAAAAACAAGTATATACATTTTAGCTATTACTTTCTCTTCTAATATAAATTAGTGTTTTTCTCTTCTTGTCTCAGAGTCCACTAGCGACTGTCTGTCCTGCTAGGTCAGGCGAGGTTGATTTTTCTTCAAATAAAGATCATTCCTGTATACAGAAAGAAGAGACTTCTCCCACTCTACCCTTCATTGTCACTCAGGAAACACGATGACAGTTGTCTGAGTGTTGATACTTGTGAGTCACAAACTCCCTGCGCTTCTCCCAGCACCAAATCCCCACAGACCTCCACACTCTACTGTGGCCCCTGTGCTCGGTCTCTTCTTCCCAGATCTAAGCCCCCACCAGACTTCTCTCGGGACCCCTAGACTGGTTAGATGCAGGGGCCGTTATCATTGCATCCTGCCCATGCTGATGCTCGCTGATGCTCGGTTCCCTGTGTACCACAATTGAATGAGATTGTCTGAATTTGTCCTTCTCCCTCTGACAAATTTCACTTAGTCTGATATTCTCTAGTACCATCTATGGTGCAGAAAATGCTGCTATTTTGTCTTTTTTTTTTAACAACACGCACATGCCCCAAAGCCACCACCAGTTAAAGATTTAACTTCAGCTATGGTACCCCGTGCACTGGAGCGATAGCAGAGTGGTAGGCTGTTTGATTTGCACGCAGCCAGATTGGCTGAGCCGGGTTCGGTTCATCTTGCTGGCACTGCAAAGCCTGGCAAGCTCCCTGTGACTTATTCGATGTGCCAAACACAATAACAACAAGTCTCACACTGGAGATGTTACTGGGCCCGCTCGAGCAAATCAATGAACAATGGGGAGGACAGTGACAGTGACAGTGATGTTACCCTGTTAAAAACTCTGCATTTCCTGGAGCGACATATCAAAAACACTACAACTCGATAAAACAGGAGTAGCACAGCCAGTTGGACATTGGGTGGGATGTAATGTGGAAGACTCCGATCTCAATTAGCAAGATATAATCACTGAAGGCTTAACCTGGAGAGAGAGAGAGAGAAACAGAGAGAGAGACAGAGAAAGAGAGAGAGACAGAGACAGAGACAGAGAGACAGAGAGAGACAGAGAGAGACAGAGACAGAGATACAGAGAGAGACAGAGAAAGGAGAGAGAGAGGAAGAGACAGAAACGTAGACAGATACAGAGACGAAGTCTCCTCTGTGCAGACTCTAGTCAGCAGCTCCTGGATGACCTGGTCACAATGCCCCGGGAAAGAGCAGGACTGTAGCAGGACAATCAACCCCTGACTCTCTGGGAGGGGCTGATTCACTGTCCGCAGAGACCCAGGAACCCTGTGACTTGCCTTCAGGGGAGCAGCCTGAGAGCAGGTGACCTGTGGGGATGTGACTGTTCAGGGGACTGTGGGTCAGTCAGGGGTGCCCAGACACCAATTCCTGGGGGGACATGGGAGGGGCTGCAAGGGCACCACCAGAGGGCAGTCGGGAGCCACCTGGGAAAGGCCTCAGCCCCACCAGGGGCAAAGAGGGTCACCATGTGCTAGAAACCCACATAGGCCAATATTCTGTCTCAACACAGAGACACTCAGCCCCCATCACCCCCACCCACTCCCATTCATGACCCCACCCACTCTCATCCATGCCCAGTTCCAGCGTCTTTCCTAGGACACTTCCCCGTTACTCCCAGAGCAGCTCCACTCTCAGTGACACCCTCACACTCCCAACCCCTTCCCTGTGATCTGTCCTCCCTGTCCCCAATACTCACCCCCACCAGGCCCCAGGGACTCCAACGCCTGGCAGGGTGAGTATAAATCGGTACTTTACTGCTTGTTATTATTTGTACAGCTTTCTCTTTGACATTCATGTAAGACACAGAACAGCTTTTCCTCATTTTTCTCCCTCCTAGAAAGCTCCTGTGACCTATGTTTAAAGGTCCAGGACTGAGAGTAGTCCAAGACTCCTTTAGTAATGAGTAAAAACCCATAATTTATCCCTAGAGTGGAAGGCTTTTCAGAGTGAGTCTCCTTCATCACATCCTACATACACTTACACAAACAGGAAGCACTGCAGAGAGCATGAGGGAGGGGTGAGGCATAGCGGAAGGAATACCATGGGCCAAGGGGAAACACTGGGTGAGGGGTTCATCCACTGTTTGGGGTATGATGGTCACTGCACAAGTATCCATATATGCCAGTGCTCATGAAACATTAATGATCTATAATCAGTATTCTGTGCAGGGCATCGCCTCCTGTGGTTTCTACTGCTAATCAAATATTGACATGGTAAGAAGGAGACGTGGGGTCAGGCTGATGTGAAGAGTCACACCCCATGCACCTCCATGCACACTAGTCTCCAACATCCTCCAGGTAAAGGCAAAATTCAGAATGAATACAATTTGTACTCATTCCAGGGACGAAGTTCTTGACAGATACTAGCGATATTTCATTGGGTATTATTTGTTTTTGTTTGGTTTTGAGGATATATCTGGCATTTCTCTGGGATTACTCCTGACTCAGCACTCAGCAATTACTCTAGAAATTCCTGGGAGAAGCATATGGCATACTAGAGTTCAAATTTGGGTCAGCCATGTGCAAGGCAAGTGCCCCGCCACTGTGCTATCCTTCAGTCTCTGTTGGTTTGGATTCGTTGTTGTGCCACTCCGGTTATACTGCTGGCTTTGTATTCAGGAATCAAGCCTGTTGGGGCATGGGAAAACATACGAAGTGCAAGGAATGAACCTTGATCACCCAATGCAAGGGAAGAAGCTAACACCTCTGCTGCCTCTACATCTCTAGTTACTGGGGACCAATCTTGATGAACAGGGACAAACCAGGGATGCTGTGAGTATTTTAAAGAGAGACTTAAGAGACAAGGAGTGGGGAGTCAAGGGACAAAGAAGCTTGTGGACCGAGAGCTCCTAATGCCCCAGTGAGAGTTTTCACTTAGAACCAGGAATCATCAGAAGAACGACATTCTTAGCTCCTAATGCCCAGCGAGAGTTTTCACTTAGAACCAGGAATCATCAGAAGAACGACATTCTTAGGTCAGCTGCCTGACTTAGTCTATCTGAGGTAAGCTTTTACACATCCGAGGGCCTTTGATATCAGTACAAACATCTTTAACTTCAGAGATGTTTCCTCTGGGAGAAACAGCAGAGACAGAGCAGACACAGGATCCTGCCTCAGGTTTCCCAGATATCAGGGCTATGCTGTCTGGCCTTTCTGCCTTACTACTGATTTTGTTTCAATTCTGGGTTCCCAACTCATTCATAACTTGGTGTCATTCAGTGGATTACTTTTGTCTCAATAATGGGACCAACTATTACAATGTGTTATGAGATTATGGTATAAAGTATTTAAGTTTCTAAGTTACAAATGGTACATAAAACAGAAGTATGACTATAGATATTACATGATAGTCATCAAAAATAAGGACAAAATATCTCAAATTAAATTTTTTGTCATATAATAATTGCATGACAGAATCTTTTCCAGGTCACAAGTCACCCCCAGAGCCTGACACTTACTCTGGAGTCCTTCTCTTACTCTTTAGGTTCAAACAGAACTTATGTAGGAGGAGGATATGCAAATTGTCCTTTCCATGCTATGTTGAAAACAGGCCAAGCCAGCCTCAGCTCCAGGAGAGGAATCAGTTCAGGGGTTCCCAGGGGCTCCATCCTGATTCACACAGAACCAACATGGTGTGTGGACTGAGCTGGCTTCTCCTGGTGGCTGTGTTAGGAGGTAACTCACGGGTGACAAAGACACGGAGCATGGTAGAGATGGGAGAGGCAGATCCTCTGTGTGAGGAGAGTTTCCTGACAGGATGTCTTTGTGTTTGCAGGGGTCCAGTGTGAGGTGCAGCTGGTGGAGTCTGGGGGAGACTTGGTGCAGCGCGGAGAGTCCCTGACAGTCTCCTGTGCAGCCTCTGGATTCAATGTTGGCAGCTCTTATATGAGCTGGGTCCACCAGGCTCCAGGGAAGGGCCTAGAGTGGGTCTCATACATTAGTGCTGGTGGTAGTACATACTATGCCGACTCTGGAAGGGCCGATTCACCATCTCCAGAGACAACAACAAGTACATGCTCTCTTTGCAAATGAGCCCCCTGAGGAAGGACGACACGGCCCTGTACTGCTGTGCGAGAGTTACAGTGAGAGGAAGGCCCTGTGGGCCCAGACACAAACCACCTGCAGGAGGAATCAGGGTGAGCTTCAGGGGTGCAAGCCCTCAGGAGGCTCTGAGGACTCTTCCTTGAGGAAATGTTGCTCATGACCAGATGAATCATGTTTCTGAGGAGATCAGGCCTAACCTGCCACTCAGCTCTCAGATGACTCCAAGGGCACCTTGTTCTGTGGGTTTTGGCTCTGAGTTCTCTATCCCCTCTGTGGGTGGGAAGGAGTTTGCCTCACTCTTTCTCATCTAAGTTTTCACTAGTGGAACCATGACTTTTCTGGGGCTTGCGGGGCATATGATTCTCTTGTCAAAATTAACCTCTGACCCTACAGAGATTATTGTGGTCTCATTGTAAGGGTTACTTTATTAGAAAGTGAAATCCTGGTGTCCACTCAGCTGTGTTCTGGCAACTTCCTTCTGCTCTCACACACACACACACTGTGCCCTCTTACCTTCACCCAGGTAGTCTCTACTTTGTCACCCACACCTTAAAGTCCTGCTCTCTGGGATGGGCTGACCTCCCATCCCTCACCCACTCACTAAATGCACATTCATATTTCCCCATTCCCTCTCTACTCCTCACCCCTTGAAGAGGAGAGACCAGGTCCTGTGACATGAGCTTTGCTGACCCCTTG